ATACTCTTTACTCCTATCTCCATCAACTTATATCTTACATATCTTTCAAGACTCAGATTTTGTGTCATCTCTGAAGCCTTCACCAGTGTTCATGATTAGACTTGTTCTCTTTCTTTTGGGTTCTCGTTGCTCTTTGTGTCTCTATAACAGTGCTAACAGCAGTATTCCCTGTGTTCCATTTTTTATCTAGTGCTAACTTGCTTATTATGCTGTCACCTGTGAAGAGAGAGGCCTTTTATTGTATATTTCTGAATCTCTCACATAGTTCTTTTGCCATAATGTTTAATGAATGAATATTAGTGGGATGGACCTTTCAATGAAAATATTTTGCATGTTGAAAGTGAGTATAATACATAGAGAAGCAAGATCTTTTTTTACTTCCTGAGGTAACAATTTCATTCTAAACAATTAGATAGTGAAATCTAGAATCTACCAACAGTAGGCACATATGAGAACTAAGTGTCAGTATCTGGATGGAGAATTATTCAAGGTTAAATCAAGTCAGAGTGAACTTGCCATTTGCAGCTAAAAGAATAAAACTACTCTCACACAGTGATCTATTGTCTTCATCACTCCATTTTTTACTTTGGCCTTCAACTCAGTGGATGGTCTATATAATCTATTGTTCACACTAACTAATGTACAATGAAGCTAGCTTCCTTTTCCCCAATAGCTGCTGATTTTTTTTTTTAAAAAGGAAGAACATTGATTTAATGGTTCAATGTTAAAGTTGATTTTATTGATTTTGAACTGGCAGTTGGTTAATTACAAACACAGGTGTCATGTTTTTGTGTTCTTGTCCCTGACTTGAATACTCAAATGTGACTCATACAAAAGCTGATGTCAACAAGACTCTTTTTCTCCGAGGATGCTGTGAGCAGTATCATAATGATTATTATTTTTATCACTTCTGTTTCCACCTCATGATGGGCATTTTATCTCAAATAACTAATGTCAAAATTATACATTTGCAACATAAACTAAGGTGGACTTTGTGTTGCATTGCTTCCATGGAATTTCAAAAACCATGTGTGTAGTGTGAGTTTCATTTGGAAATAATTTCTTACACTCCATTTTTTTTAAAAAAAAACATATTTTTATTGAATTAATAGAGGAAGGGAGAGGGAGAGGGAGATAGAAGCATCAATGATGGGAGAGAATCACTGATAGGCCTCCTGCATGTCCCCTACTGGGGATCAAGCCCAGAAACCCAGGCATGTGCCCTGACCGGGAATTGAACCGTGATATCCTGGTTCATAGGTCAATGCTCAACCACTGAGCAACTCTGGCAGGGCTACACTCCATTCTTGTCCTCCTTCTTCCTTCTTTGTTCCTCTTTCTTTTTCTCTTCCTTCTCACCCTCTTTCTCTTTGTCCTCCTTCTCCATTGCATACTTAGTTGCCAATTAGAGTAATAAATAGGAGTTTTCTTGTTCATAGATAAAACATAAGATCTGTAAAGGTGCTTTTGTTTTCAATCCAGTAAAATGTTCTAATGAGTATCAGATACTGGTTATGACAAATGGGGAATCTCCTGTCTAGGCTATATACATGCCTTTCAGGGCTCTAAGAAGGCATTTTTTATCAGGAAATTTCATTGTTTTGTCCTGAATTCAATCAGGACACCTAAGTGCTACTCTCAACTCTTCCATGAGCCACCTGTGTATCCTTGGGCCACTTTAACTCTGTATTTTGTGTTCCTGATATTTTTCCAGCTCTGTAACAAAGTAGAGGAGGGCTGTTGTGCTTCAGTATCCAAGTCAATTGGGAAAGCTGGGTATCCACATGCACAATGTGAATTGGTCTACATTTTGGAGCCAGTAAAATGTGGGGTGGGATCACACAAGAAACCTGATGCTGAACAGCTGGATTGCAAAATGAATGTGTTTGAAGCCAGCCCCCACCATTGTGAGTGTGTCATAAGCATAGGGGGCTTTGCCTTTCTTAGAAGCTCCCCAAAGGAAGGGTTATCTAAAGACTTTCCCAAAGCCTGGGTAAGGCATAGAGGCTTGGGGTTGGAGGAGAGTAGGTCATTGTAACAGCAATCACCAGAACAATATGTGAAGGCTTTATTTTCCTACAATAGGATATCATGGTGTGTCACTGCAATGGTTGCTTTTGAGCTTTTGGTTTTACTTCTTGGAAAGCAATTTCCACAAATACCTCCAAAATTAATGTTCTGCTGCCTTTTGGTGAAGTGTTGCTGTTTGAAGTATTTACTAAATTATTTTTATGGCTAGTAGTTGGTTTGAGGTTTTCTATTACTTTTTGAGCTAATTTCATTATTTAAGTTTTCTTTTAAGCATCATCTGTTTCATCTAAGTTTTCAAACTAGTTGGCATAATCATGTAAAGAATAACTTCTGACTTCATAGTTATTGTTCCTTTCTTATTCCTAAATGTGTGTATTTGTTACCTTTCAAAACCTTTGGATGCTGGTTTCTACTTTCTGCCTCACTGATTTCTTCTTTCTTGTTTCTAATTTTCTGCCTTTGCATGCCCTTACAAAGCCGCCCCTCCCCCCCCCCCCCATTTTTTTGTACATTTGAGACAAAAACAGTCCTGGCTACATTCTCACTATGTGATAAGCCCTTTACCAGGAACCATTGATAGATACAGAGGGATGGATAGACTTAGTCTTTACATTCAGAAAACCTGTGATCTAATGGGAATGACTAGATGAGTACTCATGAAAATACAGGCAGGTCTTGAAACAAAGTGCTAAATCCTAGAGACTACTAGTGGAAAGACACTCAAGTATGAGGCTTTCCTCATTCATGATAAACACTAAAGGCAGCCAGTCAGGGTCAGGGGCAACCCCTTAAGGTCAAGGAGGTGTCATGGAGTAAACAATTCAGAGACACACAATGTATCCAAGTTAGGGGTTCCAGATTTTATTAAGCTAAAGTCCAAGGTATAAGTGGGAGTGTGCAGCAGAGTTTAAAACCATGTAGCCTCTGTCATTGGATCTGCCTCCAGGACAATATGCAGGGTACTTATTGAATGAACAGTGCCAGCCAGTGACTGGTTCACTTGCTACTAAATAGCTCCCATGGCACCTACATATTCTTCTATCTTACCACTCATTTACATCCTCTGTTTCAATGTCTCTCACACTATCAGATTGTGACCTCCATGAAGTCTTGGCCTGAGTGTTATTAATCTTTGTCTCCCCAGTGCATGGACAATCCCTAAGTGCTTTGTATTACCAAGTGGCCAAAAGCACAGGCTTTGGAGTCATATCTGCATTTGTTTGGCTTCATCCCTTTCCACCTGAGTAATTTACTTATTGTCTCTGGGCCTCAGTTTTCTCACCTGAGAAATAGTGAAGATAATAATACTTACTTCTAAGATTTGTTGTGACAGTAAAATGAGGTGACAAATTTAGAAGTACTTAACAGAGTGCCTGTCACAGAGTAAGCATTCAATTAGTGGTAGTTCTGATTATCATTACATGATTGTGGAATGAATGAATGAGTGAGAGACAAAGGGCTAAAGAAGAATATTATATTATTTGATGAAGTCAGAACTTAGGGTTAGAAGAAGCTTGATAGGAGCAACCCTGACAGTTCTCCAAGTCTCCTTCTTTTCTCTTAACATCTCTTGGATGATTGGGAGGCTGAGAAAATGGGGATAATCTTTATGCATCTTTTGCTTTGTGTAAGGCTTACAATCATATTGGCTGAGGGAACAGGAGTTGAATAGACCAGGGATGGGGAATAATATTATTAATATAAACATTTTTCAAATGTAACATAGTGTACCCAACAAGCCATTGTTAGTTTGTGAGCACTGTGCCTTTGGATAGTCATTGCTGGTAGCTTAAATGGGTAGCTTAGAACAATTAGAAGCTTTGAACACTTTCAAACTAAAGATTGAGATAAGAATGTTTTGACTTCATGCTTTCTCCTGGGTTTTACCTGGTGTGCTGAACTAATTATCAGATGTAATTAGGAAAGCTGAGAATTGGGGAGACTGCAAGGAGCACCGTACTTTCCCAGGGACCCTTGTTGCTTTATGCAGCAAAGGGGTTGGGAAGAAAGTCTCTCTATTTTTGACAAGCAGCAATGCATAGGGGACTAGAGGGTGGGAAGGATCCTGGGAACATGTCTTTACCAGAAGAACCTCAAGCCTATGGGGATCCATTGCTCTTGATTAGGTTTTAAGTGGTCAGGGCAGTTTCCCCCTTATTGTTCTTCAGGAAGGAATGGTATTCTGGGCTTTGACCAGGTTCTGGGTCTATTTTCAACAAAAGTTCAATTTGGGGAGTGGGCAAAGAAGTTAAGAATTGATGTCCTTGTTTAAAGACTAATGAAGATGATGAAGAGAGGAACTTTCCCCTCTCAGTCAGTCACAGCCTCTCCACCACATGCTTAAGATGATCTTTCTTACCTGCCTTGGTCTAGAGTCCAGTGGTCGGCAAACTGCGGCTCGCGAGCCACATGCGGCTCTTTGGCCCCTTGAGTGTGGCTCTTCCACAAAATACCGACTTCTGCGCATGGGCCATGAAGTTTCAATCGAACTGTACATGCGCGCCTGCACGTGGTGTTTTGAGGAAGAGCCACACTCAAGGGGCCAAAGAGCCGCATGTGGCTCGCGAGCCGCAGTTTGCCGACCACTGGTCTAGACGCTTGGCCCAGACCACTGGCCCCAGTGTTGGGCTAGGATTACTGTCGTCTCTGTGTCTCTAAGGAAAGGTAACATTTGTAAGGCCATATGCTTGTTGACTTTTGTTCAGAGGCGGGTATTCCATTTGGACATGGTTCCAAAGTTACTCTTGATACAAGGCTACCATGAAAAATGGAAAGACAATGGCACTCAGTATATCTTTACCCATTAGGGGCTGTGTACAGACTCTGAGCCTAGTATTTTGAGACAAAGAAGATCCTTGGGGCTAGAAATAATGGCTCAGATATGATTTTTCCCCCTCTGCCAACATGGTATAAATTTAATTGCCATAAGACCATCAAATAACAATCCAATGATTCTGCTTTCTCCATAGGTAACTTGTCTCCATGATTTCTTTGGTGATGACGATGTATTTATTGCCTGTGGTCCTGAAAAATTTCGCTATGCTCAGGATGACTTTTCTCTGGATGAAAATGGTAAGCACAGTCACAGGATTTTATTGCTCTATTGTTCTCTTTCATTATATTCCTTAGGGTTTCCATGGGTTCATATGGCCTGGAGCACATCCATTCATGCTCTCTAAGGGGAAAATATTGTTAGTCTTTCTCCGGTATTTTTGGAAACATGAGTCACTAAATGAAAGGTTAATTGGATGTCCCAGATACCCACCATCCAAACTCAATAAGACTCACTCTCTACCCCAACAGTGACCATATTTCTTAAACCACATATTGTGTCACATGGGCTGACAGGTACAATCAGACCATGGTAAGGAACATTTGGATATTCTATGCATGCATTTTTTTCTAGTCAACACCTCTAGCTATTTGGCCCATGTTGGTGATTCTATCTTAGGTTTCCCTCTGTTTTCTTACTATAAAAACTTTCTCCTTTAATCACCTTGGTTTGCTGCCCCATTCCCTCTGCATTTTGACTCAAGAGTCCAGAGGGTTGTTAATCTCAGGAATGAGGTGAAACATCTGCCCATCTCCCTTTTCTGTGTCTAAGCTCCAGATGTAAATTAATGTAATTTAACTCGCGCAACATCAGGTTTAGGATATGATCTTAATGGAAAGACACATTCAAAAAAGATATTTCCCACTTATAAGGAGTAAGGTGTGAGAAAAACAAACTGAGTTGTACTAATGCAGACTTTACAAACAACTTAAATGACAAGGACCCTGAAAGAGGTGGCATTTCTACTTTTTTTTCGTTGAAAAAAGGCAAATGACCATAAAATAGCTAAACAAATTCCAGGCTATGTCCATTTTCCTATACCTTCTATATCTTCAGCTCTGGACAGTGATAATTGAAGTTTATCAACCAAAACAAGAATGAGCTTTCTGCTTAATTGAGTTTCCTAAAATAATCTTAATTTACCAGAAAAGATCCACTATTCTTTCTGGGTAAATGATATTTCAATGTATCTTTAAGTAGAAGGTGATGAGGAGGTATCCAAAGAAAAAACTAACCTTTGTCAAGCTGTTCGTTTCTACTCTGAGCAGCACAAGGTTGGAAAATCTATAAAATAGAGTGGGAAGAGCACTAGACTGGGACTCAAAAGACTTGGCTGCTAGTGCTTGTTCTGCTATTTTCTTGCTTTGTGGTCCTAAGCAAGAGGCTTAAGCTTTTTGTATTCTTATCGGTAAAATTAGTATAATACTCCTTCTAATACATTAGCACAATAAGTGTCCCAAATTGCCATAATAGAGGTGCTGAGTGACCTAAATAGAAAGGGTGCTCCAAACATGTCAAACTGGGGTTGGTGCAGTAGCAGGGACATTTGGCAGACTCTCCCACACACCCACTAGCTTTCTGTAAATTCCCAATGGCAGAGTCACTGCTGGCCCGTTTATTCATTAAATCAGCAGAGGGGGTTATGATAACGCACATGCATTTAAACTAAAAAAAAAAACCTCTATAGATGCAAGGTGGTGGTGGTAGTAGTAGTGCTTATTTATAAAATCACATGACATCCTAAATATGCCTACCACAATACATGACATGTAATAAACAATAAAGCTTAAATTACTCGTAAATGTTTCATCTGTGTGCTTACAACCTCTAAGCTGGCAATCTCTTCTCCAAGGATATTAATTATGTCAACAGGTGCTATTCTGAGACATGAATGGCTTGTCCACAAATGATTGCGTTAATTAATGACCTATTCAACCTGCTTCTTAACTCTTTCCCTTGTTTCCATAATCCAGGGATGTAAACATCTGGTTTAGCCCAGGTGACTTTTGAAAGTTTATCTACTGCCTCCCTCTCCAGAGACATCATTTTTTCAAAAAACTGAGGATCACCTTTTGGACCTAAGCCATTCGGTGCTTTGACCTGTGCTGGTTATTCTAGCTTCCAGAGGTTGTTAATATGCTCAGCCTTGGTCCTCCCCTAGCTCCAGTAAGCTGTCTGTGTCTTTTTCCACCAGAATGCCGAGTCATGAAAGGAAACCCTTCAGCCACAGCTGGTCCAAAGGCATCCCCAACACCTCAGAAGAGTTCAGCTAAGAGCCCTGGCCCCATGCGCCGGAGCAAGTCTCCAGCTGACTCAGGTAACGACCAAGACGGTGAGTGTTCTTCTCTTAACTGTGTATAATGACTTCATTTACGGAGGCCAGTACCCCTGCATGAAGAGGAATGAGTCCCTCATGAACACCAGTGTGTCTCCATGATACCAATTGTATGAATTCAGAGTCTAAACAATTCAATTTGTTTGGAATCATGGAGGCACACACATGGCCCTGATTCTACTCAAGTGGATGCAAACCAGAAATCTGGCCTATTTCCATGCTTACTGTAATGCTTATTGTTGTGGTTGTCTTCATTGTCATCATCTTTGACATCATCCAGCAAAAGCATAGTAATGAAATAATCGTCACACATAAATTTGAAATAAAAAATCAGAAAAAAACAAGAATTTAAAAAATGCTACCGAAAAGTGTCAACATAATTGATGCATTTGAGCTTCAAATTTGACTTTAAACTATATAGAATTCAAAACAAAAAGAGAAACAAGATAAATTGCATTATTCTCAAAATTAGAAAAGAAAATATAAGCCAGGTTCTGAAATGAAACAAAGAGATTTGTCATATAGGATTTTATCTAGTGGATAGTAAGTGATCAAAAAAATGTGGTCTATGGATCCCTGACAACCCATGAACAATTTATCACTCTATGATGAGTTTAGGAGCTTGTGCTAAATGTAAATCATGCCATTGAGCAACCCATTTACTTCAGCTGACTCTTTTTTTCATAGCATGATTTTACTGATGAAGGCAGGGATATGTTGGTTTATGTTCTGGTACGAAGTCTTATACCGACAGTTTGAGTGACACTGATCTAAAAGGCAAAAGGCCACAGAAGTCTGAGTTGGGAAGCTTAATAGACTCATGTACAGACAATTTGAGTTGTTCATGGTAAGGAAAACATATAGTCCTGAGGAACTCACACAATTATCCTCCCAAGGCTCAGGGATTACCAGGAGAATTCTAGCTTGAGAACCTTGGAGCAGAAAGCACAAGCACCTTTTCTCTCTCCTTCAATTTGCTGGAGCAGCCTATTGGCTTGAAATGCCTGTAGTCTAGAAAACCAGCCTGTCATGCTGGCCTCACAATGCTAGAAATATGCATGTCACTAGTCATCTCTTTATTTGCAGGAAGAAGGAACTAAACCGTGAAGAGGCATTTTAGGCTTTCCATACTTCCATATGTTTGCACATGTTGTTCCCCTGCACCTGGAATGCCACCCCTCTAGTAAACTGCTCTTCTTTGCTTGAAAATGCCTATTCATCCTTCAATACCTCAAAAAGATAGTTGTTCTGTTCTCTGAATTATCATAGCATGCATAAAGTATGTATTTACCTGTTTACTTCCCCAACTAAATACTGGGCCCCTCAAGAGCCAGGTGTCATGTTCCTTTTTGTATCTTCAGTGCCTAGCACAGTGCCTGGCCCCTCGTAGATGCTCAGGTAATGCTTATGAATGATTAGACGCATAAGAGCATCTCTTTCACCTGGCATGGTGCTAGAGCTGCAGTAAGCATTTAGGTAATGTTTGCTGAAGGAATAAAAATGCATGTGTTTGGTGATATTTTGGTTAAGTTTACAGAATAGCACATGAATCCATTTAAACAAATTCATATTGTTCAAACTACAAGGACCTAGATTTTAACACTTGGATTGAAAATGAAATTGTTTGTACATATTCTAAGCAAAGTCTTGCAAAAATGATTTCAAACACTTTATCAAGATTATAAAGTCTGGCAATAATCACTTAGCCAATCAATTTTTTGAAATATCACTGGTTATTTCTGAGCCTTCTAACCTGTATTATTACTTATTTCTTGCTATGAAACAAATTGCCCCAAATCTGAGTGGCTTAGAAAATATACATTTTTATCTCAGTTTCTGTGGGTCATGAATTTTGTGTGGCTTAGCTAGGTGGTCCTATCTGGCCCAGGATCTCTCCTGTAGTTGTAGTTAAGGTGTAGGTTGGGATTGTAGTCATCTGAAGGTTCAACTGGGACTGTAGGATCCACTTCCAAGATGGCTCTTGCAAGATCTTCACCCAGACTGAGTGATTCAAGATAATGAACAAAGCCCCAAACTGTCACATCTTTTGTAGTCTACTCATTAGAAGCAATAGCTAAGTCCAGCCTACATTCAAGGAGAGGGGAATCAGGTTCCAACTCTTGCAGGGAGGAGTATCAAATAATTGATGAACCTATTTTTAAACTAGCACACAGCTCATGAGTTAGAAATGCTGAGGAAGCAGCAGCTTGAAGTAAAAGGGTTTTCTTCAAAGACTGTATCCAATTGTGTTACACGGCACACATGAACACAACCACTTGTAATTAAACACAATTTAAGCATGTCAAATCATTGATCATCACCATGCTACCTACAGAATTTCCCTTCTATAAAAAATGCATGTCACTGATTCCAAGATATTAGAGACAGAACAGGAATGCATAAGGACTCAGTGAATATTTGTCAAACTGAAAGGAGTAATACTAGATCCCTACCCAAGCTTTGTTCGCAAGATATGTTCTTGCTCCTTCAGAACTCACTTGCTAAAGGGAAGGAATGAGGATATAGTCACACATACAAAATAAACAGAGTAACGAATTTGAGGAGGGAAAGGGGGACTTTACTTGGCAGATTTCAGAATTACAAGCAGCCCCTATTCTCTTTCCCTACAAATATAAAATCTAAAGTGGTGTTCTCAGTAGTGAAAATTTAAATTTTCATTTCAGATAGTTCATGAACATAAGTGAAGCTTAACTCCAGTCTAGTCAGCATCCTTGGAAATTTCCAGAACATTTGGCTTCATCTCAAATGATGGTCTAGGGCAGTGGTTCTCAACCTGTGGGTCGTGACCCCTTTGGCGGTCGAATGACCCTTTCACAGGGGTCGCCTAAGACCATCCTGCATATCAGATATTTACATTACGATTCATAACAGTAGCAACATTACAGTTATGAAGTAGCAACGGAAATAATTTTATGGTTGGGTCACAACATGAGGAACTGTATTTAAAGGGCCAGAAGGTTGAGAACCACTGGTGTAGGGCCTTCACATGATTTCAGCCCCAAGGAGTAAAATGATCTATGTTATATAACCTTGCCCATTACATTGCAGTTTGTTTGGAGCTAAGTTCAGAGAATCCAGTCAGTGAACATTCCATGGGGCAAAATGACCTCAGGCAAAACAGTATTTTAGATAAGGTTTGGATTTGACATAGTTGTACAATAGCTTCCATTGAATCAGAATCATAGAACCAGAAGGATGAGGTATAGCCAGCACAATTTTGCATTAGTGTAAATTTACCCTTACAGGCATTGAGAAGAAATAATTATTTCATAGTGTCAAGAATTTTCTGAGCTGATAGTAAGGGACATATGTAGGTTAATATACATTTAACCAAAGAACATTACCATTGGATAAGTCTGATATGCTTTGTTTTTTTCTAGAATATGTTAGTACCACCCTGTTTCCATTCTATGTTAGTCTGTCTTGAATCTGGGACTTGTGGATGGATTCACATTCCTTCATTTAACCTGAATAACTAAAAGTTGTGGAAGATAAGCCACTTCCAAGGAATTTTAACTACCTTCCTTTGATGGCAAATGAAAGCAAAAAATGTTCCTCTTTAACAGGGACTCAAACCAAATGAAACATTGGCTCAGTTCAGTTTCAGTTAAAGGAATGTTTTGATGTTCTAGTTCATTAGAAAATATATAGGTTTGATTCTGGTTTGAACAAGTTTGATTGATTTTTCAAATATATATATTTGGTCCAATTCATGGTTCAGTTAATATCTAGGTTCAGTTTGACTTGAGGTTTAGTAAATTGATGCTATTTGGTCTGTAATTTGCGTCATAATTTGAATCCTTATTCCTTACTACTTAATTGTCTCTTTCCTGTTCTGCCTCTGAATATATCAAAATCCCTCTACTTTATTCCCTTTGAGTTCAATCCCTATCTACTTATGCCAATACTGAGTTTGCCCCACATGGAATGTCTGTTGTTAAGTCCTGAATTGGAGTTTAGGAAAGATTTACTATTATATTGCTATAAGGAGCTCATTCTCACTGGGCATAGATGATGGACTCAGACTCCAAGTCCTGTTAGCCATGTCTGTATTTAACGTAAGCCAAAGGACTGTGGTCAGGAGAGAATATCTGAGCCCAGGAGGCTCACTTCTATGGGATTTCTAAAGAAAACTTGTTTAGTGCCAGCCACATTTGCCATTTTAACCCAAGACTTGCTATTTTGATGAAGTAGAGGTGAGCTTGGCTTCAGAACTAAAGGAAGACATTTCTAGTGTGTCTATTTCCATTTCTGCCATTAATGTGCTAATTTTTCCCTTCATGCAACTAGCTCCAATTGAATTAAATTAAAAGGACAAAGTTGCTGGGAAGGAATCTTTACTCTCCCTTCCTTCCTTCCTCCCTTCCTTCCTTCCTTCCTTCCTTCCTTCCTTCCTTCCTTCCTTCCTCCCTTTTCTCCTTCCTTCCTTCCTTCCTTCCTTCCTTCCTTCCTTCCTTCCTTCCTTCCTTCCTTCCTTCCTTCCTTCCTTCCTTCCTTCCTTCCTTCCTTCCTTCCTTCCTTCCTTCCTTCCTTCCTTTTCCTTTCCCTCCTACCATCCTTCTCTCCTTTCTTTCTTCTCTTCTCTTCTCTTCTCTTCTCTTCTCTTCTCTTCTCTTCTCTTCTCTTCTCTTCTCTTCTCTTCTCTTCTCTTCTCTTCTCTTCTCTTCTCTTCTCTTCTTCTTCTTCTTCTTCTTCTTCTTCTTCTTCTTCTTCTTCTTCTTCTTCTTCTTCTTCTTCTTCTTCTTCTTCTTCTTCTTCTTCTTCTTCTTCTTCTTCTTCTTCTTCTTCTTCTTCTTCTTCTTCTTCTTCTTCTTCTTCTTCTTCTTCTTCTTCTTCTTCTTCTTCTTCTTCTTCTTCTTCTTCTTCTTCTTCTTCTTCTTCTTCTTCTTCTTCTTCTTCTTCTTCTTCTTCTTCTTCTTCTTCTTCTTCTTCTTCTTCTTCTTCTTCTTCTTCTTCTTCTTCTTCTTCTTCTTCTT